TAATATATAATAATATATAGTATTTAACACAGTAATTGCTGAGGATCTTAAAATACTCTCAGATTTGATTTGCACAGGCAATAGTAAAAATGTATGTTCCTTACTGGAATATTTCTTAATATTTTATGGAAAAATATTTTTAAACCTAAACCTACTCATCATCTCTTTGCATTGAAATATTGGCTTACTGGATGACTGCAGATTCTTCTGTTTGTTAAACATGAAGGAGCTGGGAAATGTCTTTCATTTTTATACCTTCTGCAAACATTTGACAAGCAGAACAATTTTCATACTATACAGTTTTTATGTACAGTATATCTTTATGCTAGATAACCATGTTGCATACAGTATATAGTCAGATGTCTTCCAAAGTTTTAACGGATATTCTTTAAGTAAATCAATACTTTGTTTGGATTAAAGCCACAAAGTACAGGCTGCCCTCAATGTTGCTGGGAAGGGAGGGAGTAATGAAACTGCTTTACATTAAACAAATAGTGTGACAAAGCAGAAAAATGTGACTAGAATAAAAGGCGTGAAGCATGTGTATTTATAAGTCCATACAATATGCATATACTATTTATAAGTATATCCTTGGGTGTTCAACAAGGACAAACATACTGTACATGCACTACTTTGTAATCAAAGATAACTGTTTGGCCACTGAATACTAAGGTATCTTTCATATTTGCTTATAAAAAGATCTGCTTAGTTCGCTTTACATATGAACCGTAAGATGCAGCTAGAAAATGACTTCCAGATAATATTTTCTGCAAAATTAATAGGTTCTATTTGCTCTGCATTTTGTACTGAAAGGGTGACAATTTTTCACACTGAACAAAAATGAAGTTAGAAGACAGTAGTGGTGTAAAAGTATATTATTTTTTACTTTTATTGATTTTATATAAAATTAGTGTTGTATATACCTGTATGGTAAATTTACATGCTTCATGTACAGTATGCCTTTTATTCTTACTATATTATCATTTTAATGGAAGTACAATGTGTAATTCTAGTGTGATTTCTACGCTACACTAATATCACCAAAATGTTTGTTGCATTTGCTATTTCATTACATTCTTTAGTTCCATAAAGTAATTTAAACATAAGGACACATCAAAAGAAAAATGAACAGCTTGCTGAACACCATTAATGGAAAATTTAAAAATGGTCTAAATTTATTTCTATTTTATCTGCTGTTTATAAAATCAATGTCAACATCCCTTTTTTAAAAGAAGTAAATTAAAATGTCTTCAGGAACATCTGTGCATGACTATATGCTTTACAGAATCTGCCCACAGGTTTTAAAGAAAACATTTAGTTCAATCAATTTTATTATTGCCTAATTAACAAAAGATTTTAAATACTTAGTATTTTAATACCTCATGCACTCTAGTCATCATAACCAGTAGAAGACTAATGGCAACAATGTGAAAATATTTCTGACAAAAATTTCCAATATAACTCTTGCGACAGAAATACAGTATGTTGGCTGTCTTTATAACTCAGTTTAACTAGAATCATATTCTCTTCGGTCTTCATTCTTCGACAAACAGATTCTAATATTCAGAAAACAACCTTTTAAGACCCAGTATAAAACACCATCAACCAATTTAAGTTAAATAACTAAATCTTCATTTTACAGTGATGCAGAGTTTCCCCAGGAGATTAAACACGAAACAGTGTTATTAATATTGCTGATAATGATAGGTTATTGGTAGAATGCCAAAGAACACTTTAGAGCTGTAGAACATTATTCTATCCATAAGGTTTACTGGCAATAAAGCTTTGTGTTTGCACATGTAATATCCAACATATTGCAAAAAATAATATCTCTGTCATTGGAGCTTCCAACAGACATACGACAGGTACAGTAAAAGCAGGAACACAGTGGGAAAAAAAAGACTATTTTAGGTAATATCACACAAGAATTATGGAATGGAGCACACAGGGGTCAGGTCTTGTAAACTTTGACTGGCAACAAAATAGCAAAAGGCAAAAATGATCATTTAGACTGCAGTATGGGGTAATTTCTTAAAAAGTGCCAGTTTTTATGCGTGGAACAGTACAATGGTGCTGAAATGGTGGGGAACTGCATTTTAGAAGTAAAATTGTGTATTGCAACAGGCAAACCAAACACGTCCACCATGTCCATACAGTATATATATTGTTTTTGTTTCTCTGAGTTAGTTTTGTGTTATTTTGTTTGTTTTGCCTACTGCAGTGCCATGCTTGCTTTGGTGTGAATGAGAATCTGTAGCAAAAATGCAAACATCTGTGATATATAAAATAAAAATGCAAAAAAGAACATTGTAAAGCGGCACTCATTAATTCTTTGTAATCTTTGTTCCAACAATATTGGGCTATATTTGCTGTTATATTGTTGCATTTTAGAATACTCTGCTTCTTTGCATGGTCTGACAGCAAAAAAAATGCTTTATGTTTTGTGTGAAAAAGCAAATAACAAAGATCAATAACAAAGAGAGATTTTCATTGAATGGACTGTTGTTAATCTTTCGGGATTACTGAAATGGGGTTTACTGAAACTGAATGTTTAAGGATACCTGGTCCCTTTATTTTTTATAATTAAGAGGCAGAAATACAGTTAACACCCCTGATTCTTTGTTAAGAAGATTCTCTGCCACACAGAGTTCTATTGAAAACATTGGAAACACCATTCAGACAGAAATGCTTGTACTCTCTGCCTGTCTCGTGGTTTACATTGACCTTAATTATAATACTCCCTTAGAGTGCAAGCAGAGTAAAGGAAATTCAAATACTGTCCTTAGGAACATTAACAGTTATAAATGAAATGATTCAGAAGATTTTATGGGCAAATTTGCATTTTTAACTTTAACTTGATTTAATATGAGCCTAATCCCCAAGAAAGCCATGTTTTTAAATAATACATAGCCCAATAAAATAAACAAAAAAAAACCCCCACAAAAAACAGACCTCTGGCATGCTTTATAATTCCTATTATTATTAACTTTCTTTGAATATGGAAAATGAGGGGAAAAATGATACCCCATGGAGAAGCATATAATTTAATATGATAATTTGCTAAGTGTTTTTCTGACATAATGTACGTCATAAGATCGTTTTCGCACGGATCTTTTTAGAGTGTTTACTTGTTTTGCAACAAATAACCGTCACTATAACATTTGTATTTTCCTTTTTGTTCTTTTTCCTGGTATTTTTGACACATACATCAAAGCAACACATTTGTTGACACTTTATAAAACCTATTAACGATCTAAATTCTCACACCATCATTTTTACTAATATGACTACTTCGAGTTTAGAGAGAAATATCAATTACTATCAATATCAATCAGTTCACATGAAACATAGGGCAGACAGCGTGTTTCCAGGACATAACCTACTGGGCACCGAACGCTTTTATTCCAATTTCCAATTCTTTCGAGTATTTTCTAGTGTTAGTTTGCCCGTTTTATGTTATATACAGTATTCGAATTTTATCTTTGTATACTATTATTCTTATTTGAAGCTTTAAAATTCTTTAAGCATACACACATTCAGTACACGCACGTACGTATACAGAGCCATTCGGTAACGAATGTGGAAAGTTCACATACAGTACAATAGCTGGTAGCATAACAAATACAGTAGATCAGAGTATGAGTGGGTATTGTAACTGTATGCTACTGTACTTTCTCTGTGTGCTTATTAGTCTCTGGACCTACTGTATGAAACCATGCTTGACTAGGAATTGCTCAACAGAATAGATGAACTACCTAGTAAACACAAGATCTTATTTTGTTCACGAAGTGCTCAACCTTCACTCACTCGTGCTGTACTGTATGTCTGTCTTTCATAAACATGGTCGATTACGATGTACAATAACAGTGCATTATATGGTCTATTATAAATCCATTTTTTATCGTCCGCCTTAAAAATACTGCAGCTACAGGATAGCGGAATATCATTTAGAACATTTATCCACTGATGGTAAAGTTACATTGCCCAGGCAAGTGTTCAAAAACGAAGTCGTTAAGACTGAAAAGCCGTGCGTTTCAAAATGCGCAGTGGTCAATCATAGCAGTATACTGTATGTTTACTGATCTGGCCTTTCTGTAACGAATCCACTTAATAGTTTAGATTTTATTTTTAAAACTAACAAATCGGAAAGTTACGAGCATAACCTCGTTTTATGATAACTGTACACAATGTAACAACGTATTTGGAAAAGACAACTTAATCAGATAAAATAATTATGCCTACTTTAACAACAATTTGTTGTAGGCAGCTGTTACGGGGAAAAAAGTGAACAGTGTAGATTCCAACCTTATAATATACTTAGAACGATACACACAGCATACGATTTCATATACTAATATCGATTTTAATGGATATCTACTGTACATTTACTTTACTGTTAGCGTTTAATATACAGATTGCGCTTTTGTACATAAAAACGCAAAAGCACGCACTCTAAAACAAATACAGTATTTTATCTTCCTTGAATCGCCCTTAACCCAGTCACTGATGAAGGATAAATATCCCTCAACGTCAATTCTTTCAGCAAAGATTTGACAAGTTGTCGAAATTCTTTGGTATTTTCCATTATTATTATAACCTTTATAAGTAAAAAAAAACTATATCGATTGAGAATATACTATATATCGTAAAAATAAGAAATCCCACCGCTGTCCCGAACAACACAGATGCAAACTCCTGCACAGCATTTCCTCTAGAGTACGCGTCCTATCGTACTGGAGGACACGGAAATTTTGGAGGGTGGAAGGTTTTCATAAAATAGAAAATAAAGTGGTTAGTGAAAAAGACTTCTTACAAGACCGAATAAGCAGCCAGCCTGAGAGGAAAACGATCTGTGTAACAATTGATGAACGTGAAGGTTACATAGAACAGTCCTATTCAGGTTTTTCACGTTTAACATTTCAACTGTACAGTTTTATAAACGTAACAAAGAAAAACAAAAGAGGCCGTCATTGCACAGAAAGTAAACAGTTTGCACGTACCGGATTTACTGACTCCATCCCACAGAGACTAGTGGTGCTGATGCTACGAGTGTCCCCAGAACAGCATCTCTGGACAAGAGACTATCGGTCTCAAAGAAACATGATAGCGGTACATAGGCTAGGCTCAAAGGTTTGACATGAGAACCACCCAATGGGAAGCCCAGCCAATGGAATCACAACCAATCCGTCTGGAAGACAGCAAAGCTACGAATAGCACGGTAGACTGTCTCACTAAAAATGAACGTGTTGTGTGAGTATATATAGCCAGTTAGCTGATGGAAAGACAATATTTTGATCAGAAATCAACACCAGGTTTGTGTAGTTCACAAATAATGTTATATAAGAACGGCAGCTTTATCTGAAACCATTGCTTGTCTACTTAACCGTCTAAAAACGCAAACGCTCCGATTTTCTTTTTTCCTGAATTGTATCGGAGATAACTTTTACTATTGAAGAACAAGCCTGGGTAAATTCTGTTCTTTAAAAACCAAAGCGAAGCTTAACACATGCACGACAGAAGTAGCACCTTTTATCCATTACCTTGAAATTAGAAACCTGCAATATTTGCTGTAACCGACGATAAACTGTACAGTAGATGTAGTTAACAAGGCAATACAAAATGCTTTTCATCTAAAACGATGACTCACATTGTTTTTAAATGTAATGTTATGCAATATATACTAATAATCGTACAGCTGGAGACGCCCACATTACAGAAATTATTATAGTACCTCTGAAACAGAACAAAGTCTGTTAATTACAAAGCTCTTACATTTTATAAGATCCAGCCCACAGTCCACTAGTGCACAAGAAAACTGTTATGTTCGAGTTAAGTGGACATTGATTTTCTGGGCAATTATACTGCAGTTCAGGCTCAATTTAAAAACTAAATGCTAGGCTAATTAAAAACTCAAACCCTGTTATAAAGTGCATTTGAGTAGCCAATAACTATGTGCGTTATTTTTAAAAATCTGTTTAAACCATTAATCTTCAAGCCATCAACACACTAATACAGTTTTCAAGCAACAGCCCAATACTAGAACAAAAAAGACTGGTTGTATCACAATAAAAACTCACATTTTGAATACATAGAAGACCCCTTGCCCACCCCACCCTCTTGTGGCTTAGAAGAAGTGTCTAAAGAAGAACACATTTTTCTACATTGCTATTAGTAAAAAAACTAGACATACAGAAAGACAGAGATGTGTTGTGAAACAGGCCCTTGATCTAAACTTGAGTATAGTCATACAGTATCATAAGAAATGTGTGATCTATGGGTGGTTTACTCATAGAATGGCACTCGGATTGATAGCCTTACCAGGTCTCAGAAGCTAAGCAAGTCTGGACTTGGTCTATACTAGAATGGAAGACCAGGTTGCTGCTGAAGGTGGTTTTATTGGGACAGTACTGGCACATTTCCTTCAGGGCCATGATTTCCAAAGCAGGGCTTGAATGTGGCAAGATGACACTGTGTTCTTGAAGGTGCCATTTTTCAGATGAGAGGTAAAACTGCCTGGTCCCTGCAACTTGTTTATTAAGGATCCCCTGATACTTTGTAAGAGTATGCATGCTAACTCTGGTGTCCAATGAATCCACTTTGGGCTATACAATCAAGTCTAACTAAATTTTTATCTCTTAATTCCATTAGAAAAAGAATGTCTCACTTGTCCGCCTGATTTGCTATGGAGTGGGGCTGCTGGTGCATAATGGCTGCTGTGTGTCACCCAGCTAGATGCTGTATTGCAGTGGTAGATGAAGTGGGTTATCTCTAATCTGTAAAGCACTCTGTGATCCTTATGGAGGAAAGCATTGTAAAAGTAGAAAGAAGTGTTAACTCTTAAATCATAAAAAAGAAAAATCAGACTTAATTAAATTTACTGTAAAACATGTTCATAGTTTAAAGATGTGTTCTACATTAGATAATTATTTTTATTTTCATTATGACAAGAGAAAGAAAAGTGGTTAAACCTTTCAAACTGCTGCATTTGGCATTGGATGCACTGGAATTTGAACAGACATTTATTGGGTATTCCTGACTGACATACAGTATTAATTGTTAAAATATTGCTATCATAGGTCATAATCAATTGTTTTATTAAAAAAATTATTATAGTTTTGACAGTGAGCTTGACCATTGTTGGGGTGATTGGTCAATTTAAGGGAAATTTGGCAAGCCACATTATGAAATTGCCTTTGATTATGGTCAGTCAGTAAGTTTGTCTTTATTTTAAAGGATATTGTACAGTCAGTTCTTTGATCTTAAGGGCTGACAGTACTTTAATATAACCCACTAATGTCAGACTAATATTTTATTATTGTAAGCTGGTCTAGGACTGTAGATAATTGGAATTTGTGAAACTAGCCCTAAGAGCTCTGTGTTTAGGATGCTACATAGCCATAACAGTTATGGTGTGAGAGGAAGAAAGCAATTTGTCCAAGATTTGTGGTTGCAGATTTTCTGTGTGCAATGAGCTCTTAATAGTGTTTTAGCCCAGAAAGCATCTTCTTTTGGGAAATAAAGCAGTGAAAAATAGCCTTCAAGCATCAGTACTTGAAAATATCAAACCTAGTGCCTTTTCAACATTATCCCATTAACACAGTCTTCTCTCTGTTTCCAATTTGCTTCCTTACTATTTTAATCTGTCCCAGTAATCAGTTAAGCAATTAACCAAGCAATTACCCACCTGTTTTCAATTACATACTGAGTGGCATTAACAACACAAAAAATGAGCTTTGAAACCAACAGCATTTGGTATAGTATAATCTCAGTATAGTGTGCTACACAAATGGCCAACTTTTATCTTGCTTAAATAAAATCCAAATACTGAAAAAAGGTAAGATACAAGTAGACCTATATTATTTCAGACCCAATCATGAAGACTGGCAAAAGTGGCTTTAATAATTCATCCATCCATTTTCTAACCGCTTCATCCAATTCAGGATCATGGGGAGCCAGAACCCATCACAGCGGGCAATGGGTGCAAGGCAGGATACATCCTGGATGGGACACCAGTCCATCCCAGGGCAGACACACAGACAGAATCATAGATGCACACATTAGCTATTGTTTAGGAGGATTTGCTGGTCTTCAGAAATCTGCATGGAGTACTGGCACACAGAACGACATGATGGAAGACCTAATACTCTACATTTAGTACTTTTTGTAAAATTGTATAATCTTAACATGCCCAGAGGGGTTGGGCAGCCAGTTGACCTTGGACCCCTAGAGGTTTTTTTTCTCCTTACAGAGGAGTTTTTGGTTCCTCTCCTCCGTTGTCTTCTGGCTTTTTCTTTTTCTTTTTCTGTATTGTAATGTCATGTATTGTCCCACAGCTTTGTTAAGTGCCTTGGGGCAACCTTGTTGTGAAAGGCGCTATATAAAAATTAATTGAATTGAATTGAACATTCATGCCTAAGGCCAATTTTCGCAGAAGCCAATTAACCTATGAGTATTGTACTGTATGTTTTTTGGACTGTGGGAGGAAGCCAGGGCACCTGGAGGAAATCTAACCAAACATGCGGAGAACATATCAAATCCCATGCAGAGAGCATCCTAGCTCAGGGATCTAGCCCAGGCCCCCAGTGCTGCACTGTGTCACCATGCTGTTCGGCTTTAGTAAAATTATTATAATTAATTGCTTTAGCTGCTAAACAACAGAAGGCACTAATTCTCTCACTGCATTGCTTGTTGAGTTCTATGATCCAGGAGTTGCTAGATTGAGTCTGAGTTAGATCACTTGCTAAATGTGACTGTGATTCCTGAATCGGCAGTGCATAATTAACTGGGTGCGTCTAAGAGGGTAGTTGGGTTTAATCAGTAGGACTCTCTCTGACCCTGCTTGTAGTCTGAGGATGCTGTCAGTGAGATTCGTACCTTTCCTGCAGTTGACACTGGACCTGCTGTACAGGGCTGCTTGACTGTGACTTGTTAAAAGAAGAGTGGCTCGAAGGTGATTTGGTCACAGAAGTCTGTCTGCTCTTCATCGATCTCCTTCTGTGTGAGTTTGCTGGTCATGTAGCCATGACCTGAGATGTGAGATACACACAAATGGCTAATCTACATTATAAATAACATGTTAAATAATTGCCAATTCTCAATGTAATAAAAAGATAATAATAATTTGATTGCATCATTAGAAGACATTCTCTTTAATCTAGTGTGTTAAATTGCCATTATTTTTAGATAAGCCTTGATTTCAATAATTATAATTTTTAATTGTCTTTCATTTGCTAGAGTTTTGCTACATTTAGTTTTTTTGTGCATATGATATCTCAGCGTCTTTTGCGATGATATTGCACTGTATGTTTGTTTTTTTCTATGTTTTTATCTGTTACATTAGAATGAGATAAGTGCTGATTTTAAACTCACAATCATAAGTGTAGGAAATTTAACATTTGCAGCCAGACAATTTCATTATTCTTAAATTTGATTAAACATATAATGTAACTACGTAAGACTTGGCATGGTTGAATGGCAAATTGCAAATGCATTACGGTTGAATATAACAAAATGACATCATTAATACATAGAGATACACAAGGACACAAAGATGATATCTTCTTGATATTTTCATAATATGTTTCAGTGCAAAGCAATACTCATACTATAGAAGTAATATTTTCACCACAGCATTATTTGTTTATAGAAAAAAGTAAAAGATGTGGGGTTCCTGTGTTGGAATGCAAAACAACAAGATCCCTAATGGTCTTGGAGGTGATTTAATTCATAAAGAATGCATGAAACTAAACAAAATTATTTTTTTAATAATAAAGTAATTTAAACACGAAAGGTTTCAAACATTGTGCATGACCAAATTTTCTTATTAGTTTCTTATTGTTGGTAAGGTTACCAGAAAATTGCTATGCATATACAGTACTGCATCATGCTCAGCATGTTAAGTGCCCCTTGGTTCATGCATTTCTGATAATGTCATTGCTTTTGAATATTAAGTATTTTGGCCAAACTCTAATTAAGATGGAATACAGATGCAATTAGAATTAGATTGATGTATTGACTTACTGTAACTCATCCTTCAGGGCTTTTTCCTCAGAAGAAATGATAACCCAAGCATAACTATGATGCTATCAGAAGCCCCCGGATGCTAAATGCTTAGATGCAGAGTTTAGAGTGAGTTTGTCTTTTGTTTCTTTAGATTTAATTTGGTGCTTGATAGTCTGTGGAAGTCCAATGTTCTAAGGATTTCA